ACCTACCTATTTACCTACCCTCACTACCTACTGAAGATTAACTCAGCATGTAGTTATATCCACACTATAGATATTAAAATAGCTGAGACTGATTACTGTCTAAATAAACCAATAGCTGTTTCCAATCCTTGTTTCCCATGCCTGCCTCCACTAAAGGCTAGAAAATCTAAGTACTTGATTCCTTGCTCTTCTTGCAATCAGAAATGGTCATATAATCTGAAACACATGAGGGTGAAAGAGCATTGGAGAGAAGTGTTTTCCTGAAAGTTTTAAATTTTCTATATACAAAAAGGAACAGCCAAGGGTAGTCCTTGGCTGTTCAAAGCGGTTTTGATGCCTGGAATTACAGCAGTCTTTTTTTAATTGCAAGAGAAAGGCAGGGAGAATCGCAGTGAAGCTGGCTCAGACATTGTTGAGCTACTGTACGCACTGTTACTGTCTCTTGTCCTTGCCCTTCCCTTCTCTCCAAGAATAAAGAGATGAACCAACAAACTCACAAAGACTAAGATTTGCTGAATACTTATGACATGCAAGATATTGTACTAAGCATTATATGCAGAAAATTTTCAAAATTAATAGCTCTATTAAATAACATCCACTTAATCAAACCATTAACCAATGTTCTCCATTTCTTGTATAACCACCCAGAATAATGCCTGTGGTCTCTGATTTGTTTATAAATGGTCCATATTATAATATGCCTACATATGTATGTTTCTCCAGCTAAGTTATCACTACAGAGAGCCTTTCATTCCTTCCTTCAGTAACATCAATGCCTACTATGCAACAGGAACTGTTCTGGGATGGTCAACAAACAGACAAAACTCTTGTTCTTATGAAACTTATGTAAAAAGCAATTGTTTTTAGTGAGAGTTCCAAATTGTTAAGGAGTTATTCCTGCTAACGTAAATAGATAATTTAATTTTTATATGATTTACTAAACCTAAGTAAAAAAGAGATTTTCCCTGGTAAAAATGAAATCAAAGAGAGGGGATATAGGTTCAGTTGGTAGAGTGCTTGCCTCACATGCACATATCCCTGGGTTCAAACCCCATCATCACACACACACACACACACACACACACACACACACAATACTTAAGAAAGTTTAAAGTGACAATTTTATGTTATATATATTTTACCACAATTTAAAAAATAATGAAGTTGGATGCTGCGAAAAGACAAGTTACTGCCATAAATTACTATGGGAAAGAGACCTGGAATATATTACGCAAATATAGAAGTATTCTAAATTAATATTGTTTCATAAGTGTTTTTAAGTTTTACATTTCTTTTAACAAAAACTAAAATAGAATGCATATGGGAACAGTTTGTTTTAAAAAAGACAACTTAGATCTCTCAACAGCACATCTATGGTCAAAGGGACTTGGCCCAGCATCAAAAGATTGGCTAATGAATGTAATGATAGGTTTCTAGTACAAATAAAATGCTTAAGTTATTTATGTATAATGTTTTATAGTTCTTTGTTTTCACTGAATAACTATGCATCCTAACAGCTTCAGCTTTCTAAGACAAATTTCTTCTCATATTGTTATCAAATGTAGCAGGTTCTGCACTTCCCCCTTTTATATGAGTATAATAAGTCTGGATTGGGTTCCAAAATGATAACTAGTCTCTATATGTAAGATCATTTTCCTTGAAGTTTTCCATTAGACATTATGGAGGGAAATGTAAAAATTAAGGCAATCAACTTAATTTTTTTTAACTGAAGAGATGTTTAGTTTTATTAAAAATTCCAGCTCCACCTGACAAAGCCTTTCATGATCAACTTTCTTGCTTAGCAACTTACTCACATCACAGTGTACAATCACCACTTTAAAAGAGAACATAACCTAGAAAGCTTAACTTCTGTCTTGGCCTCCATTTGATGGAATACTTAAAAACAACAACAAAAAAATCATGATTAGCAGCCATGAACCAAAAGACAAGTCCCCTGGGTCAGATTTAGATGACAGTATATTCATATTAAATTGCTTACAGTATGTTCTAACATAGCTAAGTTTCAAAAAGCAGAAGGGTTATGATTATTTGCCATACTCCCTTCAACCAAATTCAATAGGCAGTTACATAACTTGCCAGGACAAGTAGTAGAAATGAGTCAGACAGGACCAACCCTAATAAAAATTGTAAATTACGCAGTTTGACTTCAGTGCCACACCTCTTTAGTACCACATATACTTCCCTGATCTCCTCCCTTGGTATCATCAGCCCTAAGGGTCACCCACATACCACAGATTTCTC